GAGGGTAGAAAGCTTAGTCATATGATATAATTATACACATAAAACATCAGGGTAAATGCCAGACTGAGGCTATATTGTTGCTCGAAGAATTTAGAGAAAGATTAATAAAAGATTAATAAAATCTAAGGTAGTTGAAAATGAGGAGCTTAGATTTAGTGTATAATAGGAGAAAGAACCATTTAAAAGTGTTGGGTCATGGTGATATGAAAAACAATTCCTGCAGATTTCTCTTGCAGTGTATGTATCTCTGGAGATGATTAGCAGGGGGGAGTGGTGAGAATCAAGAGTCTAGGAGGCCAGCTAGGAAGCTTTTGGAATGAGGTGAGGTCTTGAGGGCCTGACATTTCTTAACTAGATTTCCATAACCAGTTTCCTCAGAGCCTCCCATGCTCTTTTAAAATTTACTACAATCTGTTCTTTTATAGAAGTGGACCTCCGTCATCCTCATTTCACTGAGAGGTTTCTTTCTAAAGTTACTGATCTGGCCAAATCTAATGATCATTTTTTGTGTTTTTGGTGCTTAATGGAGAACCACTGCAGCAGCTAATCTAAGCACCAACAAGGGAGGCATTCTTCCACTGCCCTACCAAGAGTATATAAAATTTTAATAAATTTCAAACGAAACCTAAACCCCTCTATTCCAGAGTTTAAATTTAAAAGAGATTTTATGTGTACTTCAGATCATCTCCAGCAGAACTGATGAAAATAAGCACAGCAGTGGGGTAATTCTCACTCATGATGTCTTTGATGACTTGGGACAGTCTTCCCTGCCTCATTAGGACTTAACTTCAAGTTTTACTGAATGTCTTCCTTCTGTACCTCTTAAGGCCATGTTGTCTTCTCCCTTTTCTGAGCCATTGCAGCATGAGCTCAGCTTTGTACTCTTTTTCAGCTCTTGTGTTTGGCTTTCCTGATGGGACTATGGTATCCCGGAGGACAGGAATTTTGATCATATTTTGTGTGTGTGTGTTTATGTGTACAAAATCTTACTGTAGCTTAGCCCTATACGCATCTAGTTATTAATTCTCATTGAATGCTATAATGTATTAAGTACCTACCTATTGTATGTTTCATTATATTTGATTCATAATGTCTCTTTTACTTTTTCAAATTTTATGTATTTTTAGAGAGGGGGAAAGTGGGGAAGCAAAGCATCAAAGTGCTAGAGTTACACTGATTGGTTGACTCTTGCTCACCTCAAACTGGGGACCTGGCCAACAATTTAGGCATATGCCCTGACTGGGAATTGAACCTATGACCTTTTGGTTCACAGGGCATAAAGTATCTTTAAAACCTTGTTTGAGAAAAAGAGAGACATTGATTTGTTGTTCCACTTACTTTTGTATTCATTGGATGATTTTTCTCTGTGCCCTGACTGGAGAGCTAACCTACAACCATGGCCTATCATAAAGTCAGTTAGTGGTACTGGTTGAAGGGAATAAGGCGAAGATGGTTCTCAGTAGGAGACATCTGCAATATCAGTTATAGTCCAATTTGGAATATACTTTTATATTAACTTTGCAAGTATATGTGACTGGCTGGCTGCTTTGGGAATTTGAACAAAATAAAGCTACTCAGTGGAGACTTAATTGAGGCAAATAGAATGACAGCATGGTGTAATAATAGCCAGTGTTTATAGAATGAAATGTGAATAATAATAGCAGTAACTGCTATTACCACCAACACCATCAGTAGCTAACATTTATTGAATACTTACTACTTGCCAGTCACTGTTTTGAGTACTTTGTATCAGTGAGGTTATTTTTCTCATTTTTTTACAGTTATCTCTAGGGGGCTAGATTATGATGTTTTTTAAAATATATTTTATTGATTATGCCATTACAGTTCAATTTCCCCCCCTTCATTTCCCTCCCCCCCTGCACACCCCTCCCCGACCATTCCCCCCTTTAGTTTATGACCACGTGTCTCAAGTTCTTTAGATTCTATATTTCCCATACTATTCTTGCCCTCCCCCCTATCTATTTTCTACCTACTGTCTATGCTACTTATTCTCTGTACCTTCTCCCCCCTTCTCCTTCTCCCACTCCCCTGTTGCTAACCCTCCATTTCTATGGTTCTGCTCCTGATCTAGCTGTCCTCTTAGTTTGTTTTTGTTTTAGGTGTGGTTGTTGATAACTGTGAGTTTGCTGTCCTTTCACTGTTCATCTTTTTTTAACTTCTTTTTCTTAGGTAAGTCCCTTTAACATTTCATATAATAAGGGCTTGGTGATGATGTAGTCCTTGAATTTGGTCTTATCTGAGAAGCACTTTATCTGTCCTTCCATTCTAAATGAAAACTTTGCTGGATAGAGCAATCTTGGTTGTAGCTCTTTGGTTTTCATGACTTGGAATAGTTCCTTCCAGCCCCTTCTTGCCTGTAAGGTCTCTTTTGAGAAATCAGCTGACAGTCTGATGGGAACTCCTTTGTAGGTGACTGTCCCCTTATCTCTTGCTGCTTGTAGGATTCTCTCCTTCATTTTAATCTTGGCTAATGTAATGATGATGCGCCTTGGTGTGTTCGTTCTTGGGTCCAACTTCTTTGGGACTCTCTGAGCTTCCTGGATTTCCTAGAAGTCTATTTCCTTTGCCAGATTGCAGGAGTTCTCCTTTATTATTTGTTCAAATAAGTTTTCCACTCGTAGCTGTTTCTCTTCCCCTTCTGGTACCCCTATAATTCGGATGTTGGAACGTTTAAAGATGTCCTGGAGGTTCCTAAGCCTCTCCTCATTTTTTTTGAATTCTTGTTTCTTCATTCTTTTCTGTTTGGTTGTTTCTTTCTTCCTTCTGGTCCACTCCATTGATTTGAGTCCCAGTTTTCTTCCCATCACTATGGGTTCCCTGTGCATTTTCCTTCATTTCAGTTAGTTTAGCCTTCATTTGTTCCTCTAATTTGTGACCAGGATCAACCAGTTCTGTGAGCATCCTGATCACCAGTGTTTTGAACTGTGCATCTGAAAGTTTGGCTATTTCTTCATCTCTTAGATTTATCGGTTCTGGGGCTCTGAGTTGTTTTTGAGCCATGTTTTTTTATCTGTTCGTGCCTATTATGTACGAGGAGAGGCGTGTTGGTATTTACGGGGGGGGGGCACCCAGGTCACTGGTTTGTGATGCTGTATGTGGGGGCGGGGTCAGAGAGGGAGGAATGGCGGTCCTCTCCGCTTGCCCAGTCTGCCTCACTGCTCGCCAGCTGCCTGTTTATCTGAGTGCAAATGTGCAGTCCGACGCCCTGTGCTGCGCAGTCTCAATGCTCACCTCTTCACTGGTTTATCTGCGCACAAATGCGCAACCTCGCTTCTTCCCTGTGTCTGCCTGTAGGTAGCCCGCACCTGGGATCCGTGCCCTCGGCTGCCTGTGCACCACCCCGGTTGAGGATCTTTTTTGCCCAACCCACTCTGCTGCTGGCTTCGCCCCTCTCACCGATTCAGCTGAGCATTTCGTTGTTTTCGGATTCTGTATTGTCGATTTTCTGTGTGGTTTGGTTGCATTTGTTGTTGTTAAAACTGTTTTTAGATTTGGTTGTGTGAGGATGCAAAGTGTTTCCACCTACGCATTCATCTTGGCGGAAGTTCCTAAAAGCATGTGTTCTTTATCAATTCTACATGCCTGCCAGAAGTTCAGATCCCAAGTACATACCCCAAGTTGCTTTCTTTCTGCAGCCACTTGGGAGGAAGGACCTAAATGGGATTTTCTTAGCCATACATTTTTTTCTTTTGAGGTACTTTAAGTTTCTTATTTTGTTTTCCTTTTCCTTTATTTTGATACCACTTAGAAGTCTTTCGTTCTTCTTTATTTTATTTGTTTAAAAAGCTTTTATTTATTTTTTAGAGAGCGGGGAAGAGAGGGAGAGAAACATCGGTCAGTTGCCTCTTGCACATCCCCAACTGGGGACCTGGCCAGTAACCCAGGCATGTGCCCTGACTGGGAATCAAACCAGCGACCTTTTGGTTTACAGGCCAGCACTCATTCCACTGAGCCACACCAGCCAGGGTTCATTCCTCTTTATCTTACAGTCTGTGTCACTATTCCCACTTCTTTGATCCCAGGATAGAAAGGTTTGTACCTTCTGCTGAAAGTTAGCAATTCCATTGTGAAGTATATTGTTTCTGCATTTTTAATTTCTTAGAGGAGCTTCCTCCTTTCTCCAGAATGTGTTAACCCAGCAGATTTTTTTTTTCCTTTGGGCAGTAATGATCTGAATATTTCATCATTGGAGCAAAATATATTCAGAATTCAGATCACTGGATGTTTGCATTAAACCTGTATTCAAGCTCTTAAGGCTTCTTTTCTTAACATCCATTTATGTGATATAATGTTGTATATCCAGTGCTTCCAGATCTTTGGTTAGTTTTCTTAACCTTGTTCCTTTACTTGTTTTTGTTTTTTTTAAAGAAGAAATTGCCTGGTCCTACTATCCTCTTTTTCTCTTGTTCATCAGTGCCCTTGAGTTTGTATCCTTCTTCCCTATCAACTCCCCCAACTAGTGTCTCCTTGACATTCCTGTCTATTATTCTGTACTCTTCTTACCCTTTACCATCTCAATTCTACCTTATTTCCTCTGTATAAATTCCTGTGCTGATTTCTCAGTTACTTTTCTGACCTCTTGCCTCCATTTCACTATTGGTGCTCTTTTGTTTTCATGACTCCTCTAAAATTTGTGTAAAAGAAATGGCAGATGTACAGTCTTAAGTTTCTATAGGACTCTTGTTATTGGTGAGTAGAGATTGGCATCAGAATCACTTTGTGGGTATGTATTGTTCTGTGACTTAAAACATTTTAAAACCAAATTTGTTGTGTTTTGGAGAGGATGGAAATAAGAAAAAAGATTGAAAATGTCCATCTCTTAAATATTTATTTTGCTCATTAACATGCTGAAATCTTTTTCCTCCAGATTTAACTCAGGCTTTCCCTCACTTTGGAACTCCTAGATTTGTAAATATTGGATATTTTGAGAAAGAGGGGTTCTTTCCTTGATACTGACTAAGGAGTCTATTTACCTTCAGGATGACATCTGAACTGGAGAGCAGCCTAACATCTATGGACTGGTTACCACAGCTCACCATGAGAGCAGCTATCCAAAAATCCGATGCTACACAGAATGCACATGGAACAGGGATCTCCAAGAAGAATGCACTCCTCGACCCAAATACAACCCTGGACCAGGAGGAAGTCCAACAGCACAAAGACGGGAAACCTCCATACAGTTATGCCAGCCTCATTACATTTGCAATTAATAGCTCACCCAAAAAGAAAATGACACTAAGTGAGATTTACCAGTGGATTTGTGATAATTTTCCATATTATAGAGAGGCTGGCAGTGGTTGGAAGGTAAGGATTTTATTTAAATTACTATTTTTATGCTGTAAGCAGTGGCAATATTGGCTTTTATTGAAGATAAAGCCCTTTGGGGGCTTATAATTGAAAATGAAATTCTGATTAGAGCAGAGGTAATGTGGCATTCACTGGAAAATAATACAGTTCAGGTAAGTTTCTAGTGAGTCTAAGGTTAAAAAACAATGTAGTATTGGAATTAGTACTGTCTTCATCAGCCACCATTTTTCAGGAGCTTTTAAAAAAATATATTTTATTTATTTATTTATTTTTAGAGAAAAGGGAATGGAGGGAAAAGAGAGGGAGAGAAACATCGACGTGTGCTTGTGTGTGGTTGCCTCTTGCATGCCCCCAACTGGAGACCTGGCCCGCAACCCAGACATGTGCCCTGACTGGGAGTCAGACCTGCAACTCCTTGGTTCATAGGTCAGCACTCAATCCACTGAGCCACACCAACCAAATACAGAAGCTTTTTATTTTGAAAGAATTTTAGATATATAGAAGAGTTACATAGTTATTACAAAGGGTTTCCTTATGTCCTTCATCTAATTCCTCTGTATCAGCATCTTATATAACCGTAGTACAATGATTAAAACTAAGAAATTAATGTTGGTACAATACTTTTGACTGAAACAGTACTGTTAACTGCTAAGTAAATTATAGACTTTATTCAGATTTCATTAGTTTTCCCAATAATGTCCTTCTGTGTTCTGGGATCCAATCCAGGACCCCACATTGCATTTAGTTATGTCTCCTTTGTCTCCTCCAATTGGTAACAGTTCCTCAGTCTTGTCTTTACGACCTTGACACTTTTGAAGAGCACTTATCAGGTACAGGAGAATGATCCTCAGTTTGGAAATGTCTGTTTTTTCATGATTAGATTGAGATAATGTATTTAGGGGAGGAATTATGCAGAGGTGATATGCCCTTTTCTGTGTATCATATGGGGCGGGGGGGTCCTTCGTGTCACTGTATCTTACTACTGGTAATGTTAACCTTAGTTCTTTGGTTAATGTGGTATATGCCAGGTTTCTCCACTATAAAATTACTATTTCTCACTTTGTGTATTATAAAATTTTTTAAAAGATTTTATTTATTTTTAGAGAGAAGGGTAGAGAGGGAGAGGAACATCAATGTGTGAGAGATATGTTGATTGGATGCCTCTCGCATGCTCCCAACCAGGGACCTGGCCCACAGTGCAGGCATGTGCCCTGACGGAATCAAACCGGAGTTCACAGGCCAGCAATCCACTGAGCTACACCAGCCAGGGCAAATTTTAAAATTTTTTAGGGAGCTATTTTGAGGGCATTCAGGTACCTAATTTCTTCTTAAATTTTGCTCATTAATTTTACCATTTGTTAGTAAATCATAACCACTGCGGTCTTTATTATTTTCTAGTGGTGATTTTTATTTTTTTGTTAATTTCTTTCAATTTATTAACTGGTTTTCTTCTGTAAGAAAGACTTGCACCAGTTCCCCTTTTGTTTATTTATGCGATCACCTGTTTATAATATACACTCATGGATATTTATTTTACTCTTTGTGCTATTATTGTTTGTTGCTCAGATTGTTACAGCCTTGATCACTGTAGCTCTTATAGGTTGGCTCCTGTGCTGTTTTGACATAACTACGTTTTTTTGTTGGTTTAGCACTTTTTAACTTTTCTGGCATCACAGAATGTTCCAGGCTCATCTTATACCTTCCCTGCTGCAGCCCTACAGTCAACCACTTCTTTTTAAGAATCCCTATTTACTTATTTTGAGAGAGGGGAAGTGAGGGAGAAAGAGAGGGAGAGAAACATCAGCATGTGGTTGCCTCTTACATGCCCCCTGTGCCCTAGATTGGGAATTGAACCAACAACCCTTTGGGTCCCAGGCCAGCACTTAATCCACTGAGCTACACCAGCCAGAGCAGAATCCATAGTTCTTTATCTAGGCTTTTTGATGTTCCATCAAGTTAGTTACCTACCTAATTGATGTGATACAACAAATAAACTTTCTTTTGTATCTGCACATGTTATATTCATACTCTCATATCAGAATTAACCGGTTGTGTGCTGTGTTGGGCATGTGTCTGCATTTGGAAGAAGGGGTTTATAGAGTTTCAGGCATGCCGTCAGATGGTAGTTGTGTTTCTCTAAGCCTCCCGTGTACTTATTAAAGACATTTACTGATGCTTTGTGACCAGTGATGTACTGTGCTATTGCAAGTGGTAAGATTTCATTTTTTATGGCTAAGTAATAGTCCGTGGTGTGTGTGTATATATGTGTGTGTGTGTGTGTGTGTGTGTGTGTGTGTATGTGTGTGTAATGCAGCTTTTTAATCTATTCGTTTATTGATGAGCACTTGGGTTACCTCCATATCTTGTCTGTTGTAAATAATTCTGCATTGAACACAGGGGTACATATATTTTTTGAATTTTTGTTTTGGGTTTGTTTGGACATACAGCCAGAAGTGGAATTGCTGGTCATAAGGTAGTTGTATTTTTAATTTTTTGAGGAGCCTCCATACTATTTTCCATAGTGGTTACATGAATCTGTATTCCTATCAATGTTGCATGAGGGTTTCCTTCCCTCTGCATCCTTGCCAACACTTGTTTGTTGAGGAAGCTTTTTATTGGATGAGGGGGATACATATAAACAAGCAATTATGATGCTATGTATAAAGGTCTAATAGAAAGCATAGAATGCTGTACTATGAAGAGTTGAATAATTGGGCACACCTACTGTGTGTAAGCCATAAAAATATTCATTATATATGTGACCTAGTAAAAAGTACTAAATAAAGGGTGTATTTAGCAGTTGCTGTGAGAGTTTAGAAGAGCTTATGGGAAGTGCAATGAGGTTATAAAGTGAGTGTCATAAAAACTAAGTGTTATGAGAGTAGAGGAAGGGAAGAGACATTAGAAAACTATTGAGGAAGTGGAATTTAAGAAGAGTAAAGTTCAGGGAGGTCTTTGTAGTAGCTTCTAGGAAATGGTTGTAAGGGTTCTTAGTAGCAAGCAGAAGAGTTGGGGTGGAGCCAGAGTGTAGAGCTCCCATGAATATATGAATGCCAAGCTGAAGAGCTTGGTCCATATTTGGTAGGGAGTAGCATATTAAGTTCAGTTACATACCTCATTTACCTGTCTAACCTTAGCTTCTGAAGTGTAAATGAACCTGAAAGTGCCAAATCCAGACTGCTAAATTTTTTGCTGCTCACCAGCTGGAGTCATGGTCTATAACTGGGTTAGAAGTAGTGATACAGTTTCAACTGGAAGATGCATGATTTAGATACAGTGAAGAAAGGGAGGTAAAAGAGAAGAAATGGGAGTAGATAAAGAAGGATGCTACTGCTTTTCTAACTAAGGGTATACCAGAGAGATTATCTGGCCTGTTCTGTTGCTTTAGTCAGACTTTTAATATTTCCAGAAATAGCTGCTTCATAATTATTTTTTCTAGAACGTTTCTTCAACCCAAATTTATGTGCCTAGAACATGCCATAATCACTTTTAACTTTATTTTTGTAAACATAGAACTATTTTGAGAATTTCAGATGTGGACAAATGCAAACTGGTTTTTGTCCTAAAAAACGAGAAAGGGTTTCTGTTCAGGTCCTATCTCTCTTTTCAGGTTTTACTTCCCATTCCCTGTCTTTTCAGGTTTTACTTCCCATTCCCTGTCCTTAGACTTGTTTGGCACACTCCTGCACTCTGCTGCTCACTGTTTTCATTAGGTGTAGAGGAGATGGGTTAGGGGAAAATCGGAGATCAGTTAGAACTTATGAAGTTAGTTTATATTGGTCCAAGTAGGGTGGAAGAAGGATCCTAAAGCAGTTGTCAAATACCTTTCCAGAAATGTAGAGCCAACTAATGTCACCCAGAGGAGGAAGTGTTGCCATGGTCACTCAAGAGCGTTCAAATAGGATTTTAATGTTTAGGTAAAACTCTCTTTCATTTTGTGCCAGGACATTAAAGGGAGATTTCATATTAAAATAACTTTTTTGAATATTCTAGAAGAGTTTAAAAAACACTCTCTGGCCCTGACTGGTACAATTCAGTGGATTGGGCTTAGTCCTGCAAACTGACAGTTTGCTGGTTTGATTCCCGGTCAGGGTACACATGGGTTGTGGGCCAGGTCCCTGGTTGGGGGTATGCAAGAGGCAGCTGATCAGTGTTTCTCTTGTACATTGATGTTTCTCTTGCTCTCTTTCTCCCTCCCTTTCCCTCTTTAAATAAATAAACAAACAAACATAAATAAATAAATTCTTAAAAAACACTCTGAATTTTCCATGATTGATTTTGTAACCTGAACTATATGAAAAAGAATTTAAATTATTTTCACTATTTAAACTTAAATAGTGCATAATTTTTGCATTATTCACTTTACAAAGGAAAATTAACCTATTATGTTACTGGAGTATAGGGTACTAAAAAAATACAGAAGAATGTTATGTGTATGTGGGGGTGTATTATGCTACTTTTTATGTGGCGGGGAAAAAATAAAAATATATTATGTGTTTGCTTAGTGTTGTTAAAAGAAACTTAGAAATAATAAACTAGAAACATAATAAACACAGTTACCTTTCAGGATGGATGGAACTGCAATAGCAGAGTTATAGAAGGGAATAAGATTTCAGATACACCTTTTTGTATAGTTTTGAATTGTGTGTTTTACACATTAAAAATAACCCCAAAATATATAGAAAACAAAAGGGATGGGGAAAGGAAACCTTAAAACCGAATATAAGCAAAAGCAAGCTTACATCATATCAAATGGGTAATGTAATCACAGAAAACACTTTTTTTTGACACTTTTGAAAAGAGCTTCCTGATTGTATGCCTTTGTAGTATACATACTAAGGTTGAAAAGAATTGCAAAGAAATCATGAACTTTAATAGATTTGTCTTTAGTACTGATATTTTGCTGGTGTCAGTCTTTACCTCTAATAACTCCAAGAAAAGAATTTGGGAAGTTGGGAGAAACAGTGAAACAGCTTTATGTGCTTAATAGGGTGGAACAGATGGGCACATGTTTGATGTTTTGGGGAACCAGTTCTCTCATGGTACAAGAAGAGAAACACAGGTGAGAATGTGGTTGTTGATTTGAATTGGAGGTGCTAGTTTACAGCCAAGTTTAAAATAAAAATCAGTTAAGAGTGCTTTTAAAGATTTTTTAATTTATATTTAGAGAGAGGGGAAGGGAAGGAGAAAGAGAGGGAGAGAAACATCAATGTGTGGTTGTCTCTTGTGTGTCCCCCAAGTGGGGACTTGGCCTGTAACCCAGGCACGTGCCCTGACTGGGAATTGAACCAGTGACACTTTAGTTCTCAGCCCACGCTCAATCCACTGAGCTACGCCAGCCAGGGCAAGAGGGCTTTTAAAACTTAGATTTTTGAGTGACAGTTCCAGTTTTAATTAGTTATCTTGGATGGAGTTTAGGATTCTGCATTAAAACTTATCTCAGGTGATTCTAGTGCAAGCAGACTGTATGCAAGTATACTGTACTTTAGAGAAACTACTTTTGGGGCTGGCGTTTTCAAGGCCAAGCAGTTTGCCTTGATTAGTTATTTAACCTGGGCTATTTTTCTCCTGGTTGACTGGATCGTCCTAAATATTTCTACTCTCTACCCTTCTACCTTCTTTTCTTGTGATTGTTAGAGGTAATGTCTGCCCAAGTTGTGAGATTTGAAGTTATCTCTTTTTTTCATTGTGTGTGTGTATATACGTGTCTTGACTCTCATATTTCTCTAGGTGTTTTTACTTCCTAAATATGCTTTTGGTATTTTTGCAGACAGATTTTTTTCCCCAGATCGTGGCTATTGTAAATAACACTGCTATGAACATACAAGATGATACTGTATTAAAGAAGTTTTTTAAAGATGAATGTAAATTCAAGCCTATCTTATTACCAAAACTTCAGTTTAAAACTTATGAATGGGAATTCCATTTCTGCTTGGAATGTAGACAGCTACAAAGATGATCCCTTCTAAACAATGAGAAAACAATGGGTTAGCCAGTCAGAGAAAGACAAGTACCATATGATCTCATTTGTATGTGTACTCTTCTGACCAAAATAATTAATCATAGACATCTTCCTGCATCATTAAAAGGTTTTAATAAACATTTTAAATGGGGCATATATTGCATTATTTGGAATTATGTAACATTCACCCAAAACTTTTTCAATAACCACTCCCTTTGTAACATTCATAATTTGAAAATCAAAAAGATTCCAATTCGAAGCTCAATTAAAATACAGTTTGTAGTCATATTCAAGTACATAGAGTTACTTAGATTTTTTATTCTGTTTTTAAAGGTGGATTTTATTTTTTGGATTTCAATGACTGTGTGGCTTTTCTTAATTTCAGAATTCCATACGACATAATCTGTCACTGAACAAGTGTTTCCTTAAAGTGCCTCGATCCAAGGATGACCCCGGAAAGGTAGGATTTATTATCTTAAAATAAGTGGATTCTTCATTATATATCTGTTGTCATGTTTGTACTGTACCTAAGCTATATGTTTATACCTAAGCTCTATCTGTTGTACAAAGAAAAAGTATTAGAATGACAGCATTCAAGCTCATTGATCAGGGGTATTTGTGAAAATAGCAAGTCCCTTCAGCCCACCCTACCTTACCCCTTTCCACCTCACCTGTATTTTTATGCTGATGTTTTAAGGACCAGCCTGGCAGGGAGAGCTTTCTTTTTAAGCAGGGGGAAGCTAGCTAGTGTAGTGCTGGTCCTGTTACAGTGTGCTGTTTCTAGTCTAGCATTTGTTTTATTATTTTCCAAAGTGTGTGTATTAATTTGGTTTTTGAACTGCTTGTTAAAAACTACACTTTATTGTTAGAAGAGGTAGATTTGTGTGTAATTGACAAGTGGAAGTAATTGTTACCCTGGAAAAAATGTTTTTCTGTCATTTCCTCTTGCTGTTTTTTCTTCTTTGTTCTTTTTATCTCACCTGCTGCCACCATCATATTTTTAGTATTTTATCTATAGAGACTTTTTTCGTTTGTTTCAATAGTCATGTCAACTGCAATGCAACCTGAACTTGGTACTAGTTGATTGATTTCTAAGCTGAGTATTTGCTTGGACCATATTTGATAATCATGATAAATTACTAGATTAAGATTTTGAGATAGTCTATATCTGTTGGCAGGCATGCATTCTTGTTTGGATGTTTAGACTTCGTGTTGTCTTCTTTAGGCTGAGTGTCTCTGGAAAACTTTTTCTAAAAATGTAAGCCTTATCACGTTAACATCCTGCTTAACGTAAGTACTCAGTGTTCTGGAGATGTTTCTTTTATAAAATATCCTCTACTGTGTTTTTCTTGATTTGTCTTTCTAGCTATGTTTCACTCAATTCAAGACCCACTGTGAGGCACTACTTGAAATTTCCCCAACATACTTTTCATATGGTCTTCTCTTTAAGCACAAACTCCTTTTCTCTACTTGTCTGGCTCATTCTGGAGTCTTTTAAGATTGCGCTGCAACAGTATGTCTCTACAGCTCTCCCCTTCCCCCACCAGTCAGATGAGTTTGTTCCCTCTTTTGAGTTCCTGTTACTTTGTCATCATCATGGTAGTAGCTCATAACCGTCCTCTCTATCCATGGACTTATATCTTCAATTTATAATAACTCACATAGTAGCCAGGGGTCTTTCAAAAATGTTAACTTAATCATTTGTACCATTTGTTTAAAATCTCGATTAGTTGTTTACAGTCCTTATGTTAAAATCTAAATTAAGAGGGTAGGATCATGTGTATTTTTGTTTACTCTTTTGATGAATAAATGAATGTACTATATCATACTCTGATAGATGGTTAACTTGTTAAGATTAGAGACAGAGATACTCATTTCTCTTGTAAAGCAGGCACTCTATAAGTAATGAATGTTTTGTAGCACCTACTGTGAGCTGCCCCTTCAAGTTGATTCTTAATAAGATTGAATAGGTTATTACAATAGTTTTCATATTTGACCCAGGTTGTTATTTGCCTATGTTCATAACTCTCCAAGGTAGTAACTAGGAATAGGTGAAATTTTTCTTTCCTTTAAAGCAGGCTTATTATTTTAAAAGGAATAACTTTTTATATTTGCTTCATTGCAATTTACTATGAGCAGTGAGTATACATGAATCTGACTGAAAGGATTCTTAAGAATTTAGCAATTATCTGTTTTATTAAGAGTTTTATGAAGGTACTAATTGGATTCTGTAAACATGTGGTTCAGATTTAATTTTTAAATGAAGTTTAAATCATTAAACAAAACCCTGACACACATAAATGTATAACTGTATTATGAATGGAATTTTAACCAGTTGGAGACCTATTTAAAAAATTGTACTGTCACATTTTCTTTTGTTCAAAACTTAAACCTTTTTCTCCATCTTAGTTAAATAGTACATGGGGTAAGGGAGGTGCAGAATGTTACTCTTTACAACCGTTTTATTTTTTTGAATCAGGATTGTCTTAATGTGCAGCCAAAACAAAATACAGAAATAAGCAGAATCCTGAGAGGTAAATAAAAGCTTTCCGTTTTTACTGTTGATCTCTAATTTTAAGCTTATTTTTATCAAAACGCATCATTGTTCTCATTGATTTTGGTCATAATAGTAAATAGTGTATATTTGATCTTATAACGTACATTTATACTAATAAGTGGTTTTTTTTTTCCCCAGTCTCAAGGTGAGATTTAAATATCCACCATCCTTATTGATTTTGGTCAGAAATAAATGTTGTAAATCTGATCTTATAAAATACATTTATATGAATAAAGTCATTTTAACTTTTTAACAAGATTTTATTTATGTATTTTTAGAGAGAGGGGAAGGGAAGGAGAAAGAGAGGGAAAGATACATTGATATGTGAGAGATACAGATGAGCTGCTGCTGGCAGGCCCACAGCTTGTCCACAACTGGGGACCTGGCCTGCAACCCAGGCATGTTCCCTGACCAGGAGTTGAACCAGTGACCTTTCGGTTCACAGGCCAGCACTCAGTCCACTGAGCCACATCAGCCATGACAAGTCACTTTAATTTTTAATACGAAAATAAAATTTTTGTTTAAAAAAGTACCATTGCTTAAAGTTTTGAAAACCTCATATGTAGCCCATTTTATAGAAGAGAAAACTAAGGCCAATAAATGTGGCTTGGCCATGTTCATTGTAGAGCTAGAACCCAAGTATATTGGGCAGACTTACTTGCAAGTCATAGAAACTCATTGTAGATCAACTTAAGGGAGAAAGTATCTACAGTAAGAACCAGACCCTGGTTCTTAAGTTTTCTTGTCAGGAATTTCTCTTTACATCCCTTAGTTTTCTGTTGGCTACATTTTCAGGGATAGCCATCAGCAGCTTTTGGCTCATATTCCGCTGCTTTAGTAATAACCCTTAGCTGAAAGAGACTATCCTCCCTCCAAGTCACCTGGAGTATAACAAATGCCCTTGAATGCTGAAGGAACACAGTACACTTGGTTTCTTGGTTCCTAGACTAGTGCTTTTTCCGCTATACCAATTTCCTTGAGAGGGAGGCCAAAATGTTAGTTAAGTTTTGGTACTTATGAATTGTTTTTTCTTTTTGTATTACAGTGTTTCCTGGCATTTGAGGAGCTTTTCCAAAACCACCCTCACCACAGTGGGAGAAAACCATTGAGCCAAGGTGGGGTGGGAGTAGTTTTGGTCGTTGGGTATGGGGTGGACTTTTGCCCCTTAGGATTTGGCTGGCTACTGCCATGACACAGATGGGTCAAGAGGAAGAGATAGAAGTAGCCTGTATAGTGTCTTCTTTGCTGTTTTTTTATGGTATAGCTTCCCCTTCACTATATTACCAGAGCGGTGTGAAGGCCAGCCCAAGCTTGAAGGGTACTGTTGAATTACAGATATTTTCATATGGCCGTTTATCTCTGACTCATTCCTTCATTTGATAGAAGTCATTATCATAAAAGCCCTTAATATTTGATACCCTCTCATGTATATTGATGGGCTGAAATCCATTTTCCTCTGTTTCTTGAAACTGATTCCAAACAGCCACATTATTTTTTTTAAGAAACAAACAAAATGAAATTATATCTTGCATCGATAACTGCTGCTTTCAGGGGGGCAGATTTCCATTTCTTCTTTCTTTGATTTTTAACCCTATATCTTCATACTGTAGTCTGTCTCCATTTTTTTATTCTTGGCTTTTGTCTCCTCTTTTCTCATTAGCTTTACTTTCTGTATTTTTGTCTATTTTTTTAATCCAATTTGTTTTTTTTAAGTCTTCTGCAGTTCACACATGTCTGTTACTTATCTTAAAGAAAGGTGAATATTTTGTTCACATTATGGAAAATAAATCCTATCAGCTAAATTTAGTTTAAGAATATAGAGTTATCTTTCTTTGCTTTCCACTTAATCTTTTCTCAACATTGTTTCCTCTTCCTCAGCTCAGAAAAATGATATTTTGACTTAAAAGGAAATAAAAGATTTTGGGAAATATGGTTAACAATTAATTAGCAACAATGGGCTCTAATAAAACTGATAGCTAAGAAGTTTAAGAAACTATCAAGGCTATCTGCCTGTCCTGGGAAGGATAATTGCAGTGAGTTCATAAAAGAAAGAGGTTAATTGGGGGAGGGGAGTGTAAGTTTTCCTTGTCTGAGGATGGGGCCCTTGTAAAGGCTCAGCAGATGTGAATATTGGCTCTTCTGGTTTGTGAGGAAACAGCAAAGTCACTGCTAGAGAATTGACTTTCAGAAGTTCTGAGACTGTGTTGTTTTTCTATTCTTGCCCTTTCACAGTATAAGCGACCATAACATAGTTCACTGATTTCTTTTTTTCCAAGGGTATTTTTGGGGGGGTAATGATAGTATTGTGTTGTATTTATTTGTAAATTATCTATTATTTGTCGATATCCAGTTTTGGTCACTTTATTTATAAAAAGATGTAGAAAAACTGGAGAGGTTTAAGAGAACATAAGGTGTAACATTAAATGATAAACAGTATTGAGTGAATCATAGGTGTATATACCCTGAAGAAGGAAGATAAAAGTGTAATTTTAATACTAGTCTAATTTAAAATGGACGATTTTTGTGAGGAGGTAGTTTACCTCTTATCTGTGTTTTTGTATAAAACCAAACATGAGTGGAATTTAAAGATAAGCAAGGGTTTGGTTGGACAGAAGTAAGGACACCATATTTGTTGGAGTGAAGAAAACACTGGTAGGGTCCCTAGGGGAGAGGCTCTAGAGTTTGCCCCTTCTAAAGCACTTAAAAGATGATTGAAATTACTAATGTTTGTGTTTCAAACTTATGGTAGGTAAGCCCATTTGAAGGTTGAGGAGAGGACATGATCAAGTTTAGCTGAGGGACCGGTGAGAGCAAAGTTGAGATAGAAGCAGGAATTAAGGGAATTAATGTAAGTACTAACATGAGGCCCAAGAGTGAATGAAGGATTGAAGCCAGTGAGTGCA